TAACAGACAAAACAATGATTAGATGAAGAAACCAAGTGTTAAGTAGATATTATTCTAGTTCATGTTACAGAAAATACTAACACTTAAGAAATAATCCTACAATAAGTCCACAAAGAGAAAGTCAAGAAGTATTCGAATGATTCTTTGTATCAAGAAGAAGAAGATGCTTCAAGAAGAAAGCTCCATGTCAAAATAACAGAGCAAGGAAGACCATAACTGAAAAGTATTCATTATATTAAGGAATGAGCAACCTTTAATGATGTAACAGAGGTGTGGTAACAATATAAACCAGATAAAGATTACTGATAAGTAGAAATAAACAAGTGAAGATCAAAGTAATCAAGTTCAGGATAAGAAAATAAGACAGTAGTTAGAAACCAACACAAGTTAAAAGACTGCAAAACTTCTGGGGGAAGGGGAGTGGGAAGGGACAGAATTTGGAGACTACCCCAAGGTACTCAGGGATTTCTTCTGGCTCTGTGCTTTGGGATCACTCCTTGGTGCTATTTATGGGTTCATGTGTCGGCCAGACACGAGGCAAGCACCTGAACCTCCAAACTCTCTCTCACCCCTGAAACACTTCTTTAAAATGGAAAGTAAAGTAAACCTAAAACTGCCACAACATGGACTATTAGGTATGACAGTGTGTTAAAGGCCTTGGAATGTCTATGTAAATTTTTCAAGTGCGAAGGTCTACAAACTTAACCATTTCCGGGTACTGAGAAGACTCTAAATCACTTAAGGAACAAAAATCATCAAGATTACAACAGTAAACAATTCTCCCCAGAGAGGTCATCTAACTTGTTCACTACTTGCTACACTGTTTGCTTCTAGTTATAACTGTGCTGTACCCTCAGTCCTGAGCTCCTCATATAAGATCCACTGGAACTACCTGTATCCAACTAGACCCAGAACCCTTGGTCCTTGGTTGAAAGGAAAACTTAAACACATGTACTGTTGTTCATTTCCTTCAGCTTGCTGTGTAACAATGTCATTTGCTTCTGACCTAGAAGTTGTCGGTTTTCTGCCAGCAACCATGAAACATTAACAGACTTAAGTGACTAACTTGTAACTGGTAAAATCAAATCCTAAGACTTTTCACAATTCTTGACTTGGACTTAAAGAAGTAGCTGATATTCATGTTGCTAAACAGAACAAGAGGCCTAAATGCAATACTAATTTTTTTATTTTATGTCATATTTTTATTAATTTTTATTTCCGTTCAATCAAAAATCAAATCATTGATGTTATATTTTATTTACCTTTCATTAGTAATAGTAATATTTATCATGTACATGCTCTACATGCTTTACATTATATTTAGATAGTTCTGACAACTATCTAAATGAGTTAGGTACTAAGATTAAGAAATTGAAGCTTCAACTATCATACAGAGGGAAAGCCCTTACCTTGTACACAGCTGACCCAAGTACCCATCACATGCTCCCGAGCTCAAAAATAATCCATGAGAGAAGAGGCAATTGTAAGCTGTTAGCACCACAGAACACTCTGAAAAAGCCAACGTCTCTCAAACCGTGAACACCACAATCTCAGTATGAATTCTGGTGACTTTAAAGCCTGTGCTTTTTACACCATTTAAAATCAACCACCAGCCCAGCTGACTTAAGCACACCAATTTAATTCTGCAAAGCATCCAGAGCATTACAGTAAGAATAGTTGGTTAAATTCATAAGAAAAATTAACATTCTGGAAATGTCTTTTTAAAAATATTTTTATCCTCTTAATATTTAGGAAAAACTAAACAAGTACAAACTATGTATCTCTACTGCAGGATTTCTCATGGTTTCATTTAAGATGAAAATACGTTTCAATATTCTAAAGTGTCAAAAATCTTAGATGAACACCCACTGCCATTAATCCGAATAGTTTGGGAAACTACTGCTGCAATCAACACTGCCAATTTGAAGACTTTGAAATCTTAGCACTTGGTATTGGCAGATAATCCTTTAAAACAGAGAACATCAAAGTTAGAATGTGGCTACCAGCTCTAAGCTAACAACTTCATAGTCTCAAAACACTGCTCATTTCCTACCAGAGGAAACCGATTTTCCCCACACACAATGAAAATGCATATCATACCTAGCTTTTTCATGAAATATGAAGTGTAACAATCAAGGTTTTCTGGAGATCTATTATTCTGATCCACTGTTTTACTTAACCAAATACTGACCTTTCAAACAATAAAGAGACCACAAGGGGGGAAAAGGCAGTTTCCACAGAAAACTGCACACTGGTTAACAGGAAAGTCCTGAGCAAGTACATTTCTCTCTATGAAGAGCTAGACTTTAACTCTTTCAACAAAGAACAAGTTAACATGACATACCTTTCATCTCTAAGGATACCTGCCTAGGCCTCACTTAGTCATCTCTTAACAGACAACAACCCCTGCAGTTTAATGTTCAAGTTTACTAATCATTCCAGAGCATTTATTAAAACTGAGCTAGAGGACACAGTTCCAAGGGCAGTAGTGCAGGCTTCAGCTAGAACTCTTAAGTTTGAGTTCCAGCTCTGCATGGCCCACAGCACCTGCCAAAACCCCACCCCCACCTCCCAAAGAAGCACAGCTGGGACCTGTAAGCCCACCCACCGCAGCACTGCTGGGTATGGCCCAAAACCAAACAAGCAAACTGAGCTAAAGGTATCCAGAAAACAAAGGGACTCATCACATAAACCAGAGTTACAGACTGGTCTCTAGTCCAGCAGAAACACATTGAGTTGTTTCTCTAGCATATACCTCCGATACTGACCAAACCATCTCAACAAACCAAGTTATACCAAACAGATAAAACCATTAGCTATGTTTTGCAGGAATAGGGCCACATTTCTCAATTTTCTTTCTTTTTCTTTAAAGTGGTAGTAGCACCTACTACTCAAAGTAATACCTTTATTTTTTGTTTAGCATGTTCCAGTCCTAGCAATGTTCCAGGGACTGTGCAGTGCCTTAAATCCAACCAGGGCATCCAGCAAGAAAGTTAAGTACTCAACCACTGAGTTAACTCTCTACCCCTATTCCCTACTCTAAAGTGTGTCCATTTTTAGAAGATTTTTGTCCTTTACTTTGAAGAAATGCCTCCCATTGAAAATGTACTTGGGCAACATTGAAGAAGAAGACAAAAAAGGCAATGAAAAATGATATACTTCCTACTTATTTGGGGAGAAGTTATAAAGAATACACCTTAAAACTGAGTGATCACATTTCAGCAACTTGGCTTTAGGAATTTTTGGTAATAGTAATTAAGTCTCATAACTACTAAAAGCAAATGTGCTAAATTATTTTTAAGACCCAGTTACATCAGTTAAACATGCTCTGAGCAGTGCTTTGTGTATGAGAACATGACTGACTCTAGTAAGCAAAAGCCCCAAAGAGAAAGAATTCAAAGCAGCTAATGTCGCTAAGAAAAAATAAGAACAGGAAAAAAAAGAGATTTGAAAAGACAAAACAAGTCCTAAATAGTAATAGTGTGCAAAATCTACCTACTGCATTTCATTCTTGCTAAAAAGCAAAAAAAAATAAGAATGCCTCTTTCAAAAGTATATACACTGGCAACTCAAAGAATGCCTTCCCCCCTGGCAGCAACAATATTTTCCAAATCATTTTAAAAACACTGAAAGTTTTTTCACAAAATTCCGAAAGAGGATCATGGGGAGGTTTTCCACAATGCAATACATACAATGTCTTTTATCTGAGGTAGATCCAAAACTACACAGACTGGGCTCTAATCTTTGCATATCCTTCATATTTGTCAAAATCCACTTAGGAGGTTTACAATTAAGCTTGTCCCATACATGCAAATAGATCCGGAAAGGTGAACTCTGGTAACCCAGTTCCAATTCTACAACCAGCAAGAAAATTTCACATCCAGTACTATTAATTGCACCATCAGCGTTACATATTGTTTTGCCCTTCTACCTCCGCAATGAGGTTAAACCAAGCCACCACCTCAACATCTAGTCAACCGCAGGCTACCTAAGCCCCACAAAATAGTCTATTTTTTCCAAAAGAAAAAAAAAAAGTTCACCATATGGTTGTCTCATGGAACAATCACCAAAATCAACATTAAAATGGGTGGGTGAGGGGTGGAGTGTTGGTAATGCGGATAAAACTGACACTGACAACGCACAAGAACACTTCTCACTTAGAAAGGTTGCACTGGAAAGCCTCGTTTTAACTTAAAATAAAAATTTTTTAAAAAACGAGCATTTTTTTTTCCCGAGCCCGATGAACACGGGATCGAGTCAAACTTCTGTTCTTCCTCTCTTGCCCCACCCCCCAACACACACACACACACACACACACACACACACACACACACACACACACGAGCAGTATGGAAAAACAAAGTCACTAGGATTACTAAGAAAGCGGAAAAGGACAAAATGACAAGGTTAAAAACTTGGGAGCTGAGACCTGAGGCTGGCACGGTGACGCTTCCCTACGGTTGCCCAAGTTGGACCACATTTTACCGGCCCCCCGCTCCCAAAATTCCTCCAAAGCCACCTCTCCCCCGACGTGCCGGCTCCCAGTCCGGCGCCCCGCGACCCCCTTGACGGCCGGCAGGTGAGCGTCCCCGGGACCCACAGCAGACCCGGTGCGGGAGAGAGCGAGGACTCGAGCTCGAGTTCGGAGCCAGGGAGCGGAGGAGGGCGGGGGTCGGGAGAGGAGGCCAGGGGACACTGCCCCAGCCAACAAAAACAAAAACAAAATCAAACCCCTCCCCCCAAAAAAACAAACAAGCAAGGGTGGGAATACTTGAGCCCAACGGGGAGTCGCAGACAGATTCCCCCGGGACGCAAGCCCTACTGCCCCACCCTACCCCCAAAGAGCACTGCAGCCGAGCCCTCCGATTTCTGGGCGACGGAGGCGGGGACCGTCGGGGCCACGGCGGGAGGCTTCCCCCGAGGTTCCCCGCCCCCAGCAAGCCGCGGGAGAGGGGAGGTGCCCACCCACCCACTCCGCCGCCGCCCCCTCCAGAACTCACCACCTGGTAGCGGCCAGTCCCGGGCTGGTGGTGATGATCCATCCCGGCCGGCTCGGGCTCCGGCTTGGGAGCCGGCGAGTCCCCGCGGCGTTCGGCGCCCTCGGCCACCCCGGCGGACGACGACGACGACGACGACAACGACGTCGTGGCCGCAGCGCCCCTTCCGCCCGGGCTGGTGCCGCCGCGGTCGCCCGGCGGGGCCGCTTCACTTCCTGTCGCTCCCGCCGCAGCCGCCGCCGCCGCCGAGAGCTCCGCGTTGGCCGCGGCTCGCTGGAGAAGCTCCCGGGCGCCGCCGCACGCGCCTCCGAGCATGCGCGAGGGAGAAGCGCATGCGCCTTGCGTCCTCCGGCGGCCCATCCGCCCTGGGAGCCTGCGACGGGGTTGGCTTCGGGGGGCGGGGAGGGGTGCGGGCGGTAGTCGAGGGGATGCGGGGGATTTCTTCGGCTGGGAAGGAAATGGAAAAAGTCAGACCCGACCGCGGGAGCTGTCCAGGTTTGTCAGCCTCCTGGGAGTAGGCGGTGGCGGAAAGAGAGAGAGAGAGAGAGAGAGAGAGAGATGACGGCCTTGATTGGTGCTTTCTATTGGCTTTCGCGCACACCCAGGCGATCGGAGCGAACTGCCAGAGGTCACAGAGGGAGGGGACGCATTCCTAGAACACCTGAGGACCAGTCATCCATTTACCTGTCACGTCCTCGGATGAGTCACCTCGCCCAGGACAGTGCAGGGCCATCCCTCTCGGCCAAGGCTAAGGCCCCGCATGACAAATCCGTAATCCGGGAAGGGGGGCGGGGAGGGGCTCCTCTTTTTTTTTTTTTTTTAGTTGGCGCGGGGGAGGGGACGACGATCCCCACTCTTTGGTAGTTAAGAGAATTTTTAGAGTCTAACTAGAACTTTGCCTAAGGGGGAGAAAGAGGTCTTTTGTAGTAACTAACTCTTTAGTAGTAAGAGATTTTTTTTTTTTAAAGATTCTAACCAGAACTCTTCAGACCAAGGCGAGGGGTAGGTTACTGAAAGGATCCAAGAATCAGGAAATTAGACTTCTTTATGCTCATACCTCAATGTTTCCGGAGGGTTTCGACCTTAAGGAATCGCTGTGTACACAGCATTGTAAGACCAGCTCAGTTTGACGCCGGGTATCTCATAAAAGGCTCTGTTTGGTTAGAAGAGAATTAAGAAAGAGCGGTCCAAGTACATTTTAATCATTTTTATCCTCTGACAAGGATAGTCCCACATGTTTGGACTCTAATGTGTTTTTTTGTTTTTGTTTTTTTTTTTTTTTTTGGCTGAGGGGTTGGGGGAAGGACTCCCTGCAGTGTCCTGGGACTATTCCTAGCACAGCAGTTTAAGGAGACAAGCTCCTTAGTCCTATATATTATCTCTGCCCTAGCCCCCGGCTGTTTTTCAAAAATGTTCCCTCCCGACTCTCTAAAGGAAATTCTTTCTTGTAAGAGAAAAGGGCATTGAGTAAATTCTAATCTGTTGGTTAAAGGTGAAATAAAAATAGAAGCTCATTGGAAGACCAACTACAAAATAATAATAAATTAAAATGCTTTCTGATAGTTTCATTCAAAGCTTTGGCCATGGTACTTTTAAACAGCAAAGCATATTCTTGCCATCTTCACTCATGGTAGAAGAGAGCATTCATAAGCTAACAATAACAGGCAATGATATCACACTTTGATTTCTTTCAATGTGATGTCTTTTGTTTTTTTTTTTTTTTGTTTTTTTTTTTTTTTTGCTTTTTGGGTTATACCCAGCAGTGCACAGAGTTTACTCCTGGCTCTGCACTCAGGAATTACTCCTGGCGGTTCTCAGGGGACCATATAGGAAGCTGGGAATCGAACCCAGGTCAGCCGGATGCAAGGCAAACACCCTACCCACTGTGCTGTCGCTCCAGCCCCTCAATGTGGTTTCTTTGGCAAAAGTTGCAGTATTTTAGATTCACAGATAATTCACCTTTAATATTGTATCAGTATATTTGTGCATTCACTCACTTGGAATCCGCCCCCAAATGGCTTAACCTTTCAATAAAAGAACCACCAGCAAAATGAAATTAATTTCCTTTATCATTTATGGTCTACATGGTTCATTTCAACTTAATTTTATATATATTTGTATTTGTATTTAATTACTCATTTATGTGTTCGTTTGTTTTTTCCAATACACTGCAGCTCAGGGCAAAGGCCATTTAGTAGACCGAGCAAATCCGTCACAGTACTGACAACACAGCAAGGAAATCCCAGGCCAAACCCAAAGCAGGCATCCTGCATCCTGTTAGGTAACATATCCCTTCTGTTATAACCCTTCCTTAAAGTTTAATAGATTGCTAATCTAGCTGAGCAGGTGACAGAATTCCCAGGAAAGTCTCTTGGGGGTGGGGGGTGGGGGGAGAAGAAGAGAAAGAAGGAAAAAAGTTGAATAACAACAGATGCTAACCCTTTCCTCATACTCGGGATTCTGCAGGTGTTAAATAATTTCATCCTCAGTACTACTACACGGTTTTAATCCCTGCTTAGCAAATCAGGAAATGGAGGCACAGAAAACTCCAATAACTTGTCCAAATTCATACCACTACAAAGTGTTGACAGACTCCATGTTTCTCCCCACACTGTGGACTTGTGCAGAAGACCAAGAAAATTACATACATACATATAATACATATATGGAGCAATATACCGGAGCAATAGTCTAGGAGGCAGGGAGCTTGCCTTGCTCGCCACGTGGTCCCCAGAGCCCCAGCAGAAGTGAGCCTCATTTGCATGGAGCTAGAAGTATGGCATCACTGGGTATGAACCACACTCCCTCCCCCCTCAAAAAAAATAATATATATGTGTATGTGTGTGTGTGTAAATACATGATGATGACAATGCACCTCAAGACCAAACTGCCTTCCTAAAATCAGACCTTCACTATATGAAATAAATGACTCTTGTTGACCCCCAAAGTGCCAGATGAGTGCCTAATGCTGAGTTTAACAACAGCAGAGGCTGAGTTGTTCTAAGAGCAGTTTCTTTGGGATGAATTGGGAGTAATCATTGTTTTACCATTCTAAAGGCCTTAGGCAGCAGCCAGTCATATAGTGAGTCCCTAATCTCTAGTAGTGCTGGTGGAAAATGCTATAAACTCCTACAGGTAAGTAACTCATTCAGGGGACATTCTGGATTTCTAGTGCACTTCCCCAATGCCTTCTGTTCTGAATAATCCATTTCTATCTCTGCAAGCATTCACTGATACTTTCAGTAGTGACATGCTGCAGCACTGAAGCAGAGATAGAAATGCTGCCCAGATCTCTTGTCAAGAAAGCATGCTTGGGGCAGGTGGGTAGCATAAAGGGCTGGTGCATATGCTTTTCATGGGACAGCCCAGGGTTCAATCCCCAGCCCCACATGGTCCCTCGGTAGAACCAAACTAGCCCTGAGAACCACTAGGAGTGACCCCTGAACACCAAGTACAAAGTGACACCCCACCCACCCACCCACCTACCACCACCAAATGTGCCCCCAGGAATTTAAAATAAGGGCCAGAGAGATGGTGCAAAAAATAAGGTGTTTGCCTTGCATGCAGCCAACCCCGGTACTAGTGTATGGTTCTCTAGTCACTGCCACAGTGATCCCAGAACACAGAGCCAGGAACAAGCCCTGAGGAGTTCCAGGTGTGCCCCCCCCCAAGAAAGAGTAGAATAAATCTCTCTCTTTCTCTCTCTCTCACTCTCCCCTCTTCCCTCTCTTCTCTTCCATCTCTCTTCTTCCCTCTCTCCTCTCTACCCTCTCTCCCTCTTTTCCCTCTACTCTCTTCTTCTCCACCTCTCTGTTCCCTTCATCTTTCTTTCCCTTCCTTCCCCTCTTCTTCTCCCCCCAAATATCTCCAGCTTTCAGCCTATGGTCATGCTATTGGGGTGGGGGGCGGGGAGAGCTTGGCTCTGCTTTATGTTGTGACAACTTGTATGACTGATCCTTTCTTTTATCACATATCTTAACACCCCTATATGTCTCTTGTACTCATAATTTCATGTCAGCATCTGCTTTCTGGGGAACCAAACCTCAAGTACCAAACTGTAACATGGTAGGACACTATTATTATTATCAGCATTATTGTCCATTATAAGTGTTCTTTGACAAGACTGATATTTATTCTCTGGAATAGCCCTCTATGCACTGTTTCCTCATAAGCACTAGATGTCTGCAGACTTTCCCACTTTGTATGACTTTAATAATCTGCTCAGCACTGCATGACAGGTCATACAGATTCCTTGACTTGGCACATACTCTCCACTGGGACTCCTTCGTTCCTGGAAGTCGAGGTATTCCCTTTAGAGGTCATGTGTCTTCTTATTCTCCTCTCCTTTTCCTTGAGCAACCACATATGTAGGGATGTGGGCACAGGACGAGAATTCATCATACAGAGACTAGCTAGGCTAATGCCTATGAAGGGCCAACCACACAGGCCTAAATCACAAGTAGACAAATGCCACAAATGGCCCTTCCAGGATTTTTGGCTTATTTGTTTTAAATCAGCTCCTGTGTTGCATAGATGATAGAAGTCCCCTTAAGTAGCTACTGATGATAAGATCATAGATCCTAGTAATTAACTGAATACGTGTGAAATTTATGTATCTATTTAGAGAATGATAAAAAAAAAAGAGGTAAAATTCTATTCTCTATCTGAAGAGTCCTATCTGTCTAATAAGAATTTGCCAGCCTGAGCCAGAGGGGTGGCTCAGTGGATTGGAGCACATGCTTTGACCAGCTGCTTAGGCTGGTGTCCCTCCCCAGCACCACATGGTGCATGGTCTCCCTATACCTCTTTGGGAGCAGTCTCTGAGCACTGAGCCAGAAGTCACCCCTGAGCACTGCAGGGTATTCATACCCCCCCCCAAAAAAAGGAATTAGCTAGCCATTATTTTCTAAATTCTAGTTCTAAATTGATGTTTTAAATTATTTTAGCATATGAAAATATGCAGAGTAGGGGGTATGGTGCCGCCAGCAGGTCAGTCTATACCTGTGAGGCGAGTGCATCAGCAGCCTGATGGCACCTTCAGACTTTCAGATACCCCAAAATTGCTACTGTGCCTTTGGCCAGACCTCAAAAACTTGGGGCAAATTTTACCAAGAAAGTAAACAGCCAAAAGTTAGGTATGTGGGAGACACACACACACAAACCACCTCCAGCTCAGCTATATAATTGGAGGCATGACCGCTCTGGTTCCTGATCAAACTGCTTAACGGCCATGATCCCAGAGACTCGGAAACGAATCTCGGAACCCAAAGGCGTTTGGCAGAAATGCGTCCTGTTCCTGCAGTAGGTTACTGGGGCTGGGCCACTCCAGGTGGGAATAGGTTTCGTGCCTTGGCCTGTTCCCCTTGGCAGCCCGG